TACATTTTAATGAAAGTCGACTCGTAATAATAAACAAATAATTTAATTTTATATTATTCTTGCCTTTCATCCTGCATTTGGCGCAACAACGATACTGCTGTCGCAAGATGAGTTTAATTGTCTGCAATACAAAATTAAACTGCAGGCCCTCTACGCTTTTTAAATCGACAAACAGTTATCGCAGGGCGCAAACTGCAATCGCTTGTCATTATTTTGGATTATCGGTTACCGTTAATTGACGGTCGAGCGCAATGTATCGTACAGTCTGTTCCCGATCGAAACTATTATCGGGTCAACGAATATCACGACGATGCCTGTCACGGTGAGAAATAACACGATCGGTCGAATCGAACAAAAGAATTAACGGGAAAACCGTAGGATAGTATCACGCTTCATAAATATCTCCGTAAATCAATTAATTGACATGCTATGTACGTCGGACTCGCGTTGTAAAATGTTTGCCGGAATATCAATTGTTTATTATGAAGCACAATGATTGATCAAATATGTACAACAACCATATCATCGCAATTATATTTTAATGAATAAACAAATAAATAAATTTCTTTTGTGTTGCCCTCGGGCAGAAATTTTCTCCTGATTCCCTTCAGCTAGATGCTCGTAGGATTACGTAGCAGTAGATTAGTTATCTTAAGATAAGCAAGTTATCGCTAGTTTGGTAACATCCACGTTACTAACAACAAACAAACTATGACGCTTGCACCCATACCTATTATCCATTAATGCAGAATACAGAACAGCATAATTAGATGCGCATTAAGCAAACAATTTAGCTCTTGCGCTCGTGCAAATTGGCGCATCGTGATCTGCATTGAATAAATAACGTTATGGCTATCCAAACGTGAAGCGTAAAAACTTTATCTTTTTTTAAATATCGTCACGTTTTGTTTTTGCAGCTCTTTTCTCCAGTACTGAATTCGATATCGACAAATATCATGCAAAATTATAAAATTTTGATAACGCCGGTCGAACAATTTATTTAAATTTTTTTACATTTATTTCGCTCTCGATCTCATTTTTATTCCTAATTTCTGTTTTTCCCTCGTATCTTCTTATTAGAAATTTTATCTTCATCTCTTTTTGCATTACGCGTCCTTCTCCAACCGCAGCGGAGCAGCAAGAGGAGCGTGCTGATTGGGAGGCTAATCACGCGCTACTCTCCATTACATTAATTAAAACTTAGCTCTCAACTCTACTCGGCTTCTACGTCACCTGCCGCGCCATTCGCGTTGTCCTTTCCTTCCTCTCATCCTGCTCGCGTTCCCGATGTTCCCGCGATCACTTTGTCTTCGCCCATTCGTCTATCTACCCACGTATGCCATCGCTTGTGTATCGCATTTCCTAAGAAAATCATGGTTGCCTCCAACAACGTGGATATGAATAAATGATAAGCTTGTTCTTCACCGAATTGCTTAAGATTGATTCAACCGAGAGTACCCTTCATCTACTACCGTTTTTGTTAGAACAAAATTCTCAATATCTCTTCATTAATTGTGTTTTCACAAAATCAATAATTAATTATAAAAATCATTCCTCCAAAAACTATTTTTGTCTAAAAAATTTAAATTCAAAACTAAATATCACCGCGTTACTCATACAAGAATTCTGCAATTTTTTTAATCAAATATTTTAAAACAATTTCACAAAAATAAATAATTTGTAATATTAATATAAGTGGAAAGAATCTACGGAAGTACGTACAAATAAAGATACTGGTATTAAGATTGTTCTCTTTTAAGAGTGTTCTCTATTTGCTACTCTAGTTTTGCCTTCAGGAGTCGTTCCCAAAGGGTTGCACTTTCAAATAGGTACCAAATGGAGAATTACTCTCAATTCAACGTCCACCTTGAACGTCCCGGTGTTCCATAGAGTTTTACTGTCGAGAATTGTTCTCAGATTGAGAAATTTCGAAACTTTAATTTTAAAGTAGCTATTTAAAATTTGTAATGTGTATTTAAAATTTTCGAACAAATATTTATTCACAAGTATCTCTACAATTCTAAATAAAGAAAATATTAATAAATTTATTTTAATTTTGTATTATTATACATTAATTTTGTAATAATTAATTTTGTATTAATAAATTATTGTTGGATTGTGTTAATAATGACCTACATAATAATCACCGTTTATGTTTATAATCGGAGTATTCAGTAACAAAGATCGCGAATTTGTGAAATTATTCCGCGAATTAGAACCTCGCACAAAAGATTTGCTTGCAGTTGGCAAAACCGCTTAGCCCATTCGACGTAATCCCTACTCGACCCAATTCGACCGTCGCATCGGCGAGTGTTGTAGAAGAAAAAAGAAAGTAGAACGGGCGGCAAATAAATAACGTTCCACCACGGATAATGGTATATTTATTGAATGTACAATTAAATATCCTATATCGACGAAAGGGAATGAATTGTTCTTGCGATTCTATCGCGAATAGTCTCGCTTTATTTTTCTTTGTTCGTACATTCATCCTCCCGGGAGAATCAATAACGACCGCGAAAAACAACTTCCCTGCTCGCTAATGTTACGATTATAGCCGCACGTTAATCAAGTCGAACGATCGGCACAAACGCCCACGTGACTATACGATCAGGGTTGCTACAGAAAATAAATTTTAAAATTCCCTGACTTTTCGAGGTAAAAATGGAAACTTTCCAATATAAAATATGTAAATTTTAACACATTTAAAGTCAAGAGTTGTAGGAAAGCTAGCCTATATTATTAAAAACAACGCAAAAAAGACTTAGTAACATACTAAAATTTTGGGTGCAAATTCAAGCTAACAAAAAATAAATTAGTATTAGAAAAAAGAATGCAGTTACGAAAAAGAGCGATCAAATAAAAATACTGAATAAAATATAAATTTTAATTATTTTATTAAAATCGTGTAAAGTGTGCAAGTTTTGAACGTATTCATATTTCATTATAAACATCAGATATAATATTAAAAAATTATCTGGAATAGGAGCAGTTTAAAGAAGCAAATTGTGAGCACACACACACAAATTCCAAAATTCCAGACTTTTATATTTTCCCCTGACTTTTCCCAGTTCTCCATGACCAATATCAATTTCCCTGACTTTTCCCAGTTTTCCAGGTCTGTGGCAACCCTGACGATATTCGATGTAGGACGATGACCGGTGATAATAATGTCTATAGAACGCGATTACATATCTTTAGTTAGAGAATTATCCTGACTTAGCTCAACTAAAAGTTTAATTCTAAGCTATGAACACTGCCGCATAGCACTACGTATATATCGCGAATATTAACACATGGTTTGGATGGTAGCTGAGGGCGTGGAACGGCTGCCGCAATAGCAAAATTGGAAAAAGTGCCGATCAAACAAAATTAATTGGTTTCCCCGCGTCGAACTGCAACAAAGCAACTCTCGTTTCGAGCGAGAACGAGCCGATCCGAGGTCCTTCTCAGCCACGAATTATTTCGGAACTTTACTATATTCGGCCGATATCGCTTTTGTAATTCTATCGCGGGATAAAAGATCGTGTTTGACTAGAAACTGCCGCGCGAAAGTATACAGACGGACGGCGCACAGTCTATTCTGCCGAAATATAACATGTGGACCGACGTGCGACGTGCGGATTTTGCGGAAACCGTGTTGGAAATGGAAATATAGAGAAAACTCTGGTTACACAATCAAGCCAGCGAGAAATGTGTTCTTTTCTATAACGTGATCGAACCTCGGAAATTCGTCGTTTCAATTATTTTCCCATGGTGTCGATTCATGGGGAAACATGATGGTACAATAATCTCGTTATACTATTGAAAAACTCTACCGAAAATATTGAATAATCTGCTTCATTAATTTTATGTAAATATAAAAGAAGGATTATCTGCTTTTTTCTTAATTTAACCTTTCATAGGTACACTGAGTCTTTTTCAATCCAGGCGAAATTTCATTCTCAAATTTCTTGGCACAAATTTCAATTTTTATTAAATAAAGGTTTTGATATTTAAATTAAATAATTATTTGGCAATGTAGCAAAGATGTTGAAAAGTAATCCTGATTGTTTTCTACACTTTCTGAAAGCTTAAAATACAGTACAAAAATTTTGGACTGGACCAAAAAGACTCAGTGTGTCTATAAAGATTAATGATAATTTTATTAATTTAGCGTCAATAAAAGAATTTTCGAACCAAACATTCATAGTGCAATCAGATTTTGAATTATATTTTTAAATTCTTATTCCATTTATGTGTATTAACACATAAAATATATAATGTAATTACCTACGTAAAAGAAATACGTACAATTTATTTTTTGCAAAACGAGCTATTTAAAGTTTCGAGGAAAAGCTATGGAAGTAATTGCTATGCAATAGTTGGCGCTATAACGATCGTGATTATAAGTTACACATGGCTTTTATAACTAACTGAAAAGCAGTGCCTTTTTCACGCGCCAGATCATGAAGTGGAGTTTCCCTCGACCGAGCTCGTTCGTCCGCCTCGGGGTTATTCTCAAACGTGCGAGCAGTTTCTATTTAACATTTAGTCATACGCTCGCGTAGATACTCCACCGACCTACGCATTCGTCGTAAATCTTACCACTACACGCACAAATACGATGGCCGATATACGAACACTCGCGCTGCTTGGTACGGATCGCCCGTTCTCTTCGATCTCAAAGCCACCCCTGCTCCGGTTTCACGGATGGAATTTCAGGAGAAACGTTTTATACGCCGGGTGCTCTCTCGGCTGGCACGTCGCCTCGAGCGCTTTGTCGGAGGGCAGTTAATTAATAAAAGCTGGAAAGAAGGGAGAGTACGAGGAAGCGCGTACGGGAGCGACGGGGAGCACCGGGCGTTGGTCCGGGGGAAGTGACGGGAGAGAGGCCGGGTATAAACGGAACGAAGGGACGAGGACGGGTATAAACGGAAGGTATAAAAGGATGGAACTATACTATCGTTTCATATCGGCCGGCCGAACCCCACACTTGCAATTCAAACGAGAACGGCACTCACGTGTCGTGAACGAGAAACTTGTCGCCGTTTTTCTCGATGCAGAAGCCCTTGCTGGTGATTTCGGAACCGTTGACGGTCACCAAGTCCGTAATCCCCGACTGGAACCACCGACCGTACCATTCCTCCGGGAACGTGCAGCCTGAAACAGAGGGATGGATACAGAGGGGGGGTTTGTTTTAACCGCCTACGGGCGATGGGCGATATACTCGCTCGGTCGAAAAGTTTTTCAGATTTTAATCTGAAGACCCTCGAACCTGTTAACGGCGACGTTCACGCCGGAAACACAAAACAATCCAATGCGGCTGCGGTTACGATATTTTTCTGGATCGACAAACAGCCAGCGGGCTTGTACGCGTCAGGGTTACCATATTCTTTCTTCATCAACAACGTGACCAAAAGAAACGTAATGAAACGAATTGTAAGACCTTGTTTTTTTTTAATGTCGAGCCACGCAGGATTATTTTCTCGTTCTCTGCGAGAAACGCGACGATTGCATAAATTGAAAAGCCAATGTTTCTCTTCGAAGTCGGGAGAAGAAAATACGTGCAATGTAATATTATATCAATGAAAAGGGATAATTCCATCTTGTTGTCTATTACACGGGAGATCCCCGCGTGTAAACTGATTGCGACGGTCCGTATTTATCTATGGATTATGTGCAGATGTAGCCTGAACTATCAGACGTTTATACGGGGCACACAGGATGTTACATTTTAAATTCCGGGATTTGATATCTGGGAAAACTCAACAACAGAGAAGAAACATTACGTTTCTCATATCATATAATATTATCGTGTAATGCAATCTCAATACGTCATATAATGTAATCTCCGTATCAAAATACTTTTCCCTATATTCGATGTTTCTTGTGTCTTCATACGTTTGGATATATAAACCAAAATAATGAAAAATCACCGTCCATTTCCATTGCTTTTAAATAATCGGATCCATTGTGCCGAGTGGACAACCGTGGTTGCTTGATGTAGGAAGGAGTCCTTTCTCACTCTCTATTTTTCCCTTTTCCCCCATTACCGAGCGTCTTTTCCGCCCGGTTTTCCACGAGCCGCGAGGGTAAATACGAGATTCCGCGAATATTTCGAATGCCCGTCGGCAACGGAGTCCGCCGCGAGCACAAACGAAGTTGTAAAAATGGAGAATCTCCTTAGAGAGATCGGATTATCGCGAAAGAGCGCAAGTAGGTGAAAGAGCCGTTCCCTCTTCGTCGCGCAATCGTTCATCTTCCTTACTCTCCTCCTTCCCCCCCCTCTCTCTCTCTTTTTCTCTTCCTCTCTCTCTCTCTCTCTCTCTCTCTCTCTCTCTCTCTCACTCACTCTGCGTCTGCATCTGTAACAACGAGGATTACAACGAGGAACGACGTCGCGATTAAGCATTGTTTGCCGGAAGCATTTTGCATTTAATAAGTCCAAGTGTTTCGGAATCCCGGATGAGCGGGGGTATCAACGAGGAGGAGTAGACGAGGCCGGAAGAAGAAAGGGGGAGGGAGGGATTGGAGAACAGGAAAGACGATGAGGAATCTCGCGAATTCGCTACACGAAGATACCGGCTCTGCTCCCGCGACTGCGTTTCGAAGTTGCGAAAACGAGTCGATGGTAACACGACAGTGGGATTTATTAATACTCGGAGAGACAGACGAACGTGCACCTTTTGTGCCAATGCGTCGATGTGAACATCTCTCGCTCTTGTCTTTCTCTCCCCTCCCCTCTTGCTGTTTCTCTCTCACAATTGGAAACCGGATTATCTAGTTTCTGGACATATATGTTCGGCCATTACCGCGGCTCTTAATTTCCAGCTCCAGATTACGTTCTACGGAGAACTGCAATGCGTATCAAGTATCCCCCCCCCCCTAGTTGTCAGTGTCTAATAGCAGATGTATCGCATGACTACGTTGTTTCCAGTCGCAACTACGTCTTCAGTTACATTGAGATGCAAACATCCGTAGCTGCATATATAGAGTATTCTACTGCTCTTGAACGATTTTGATGTCGAGCTCTTCATCAGTGATAAATCTGAAACTATGTTGTACTTGTAACTTTTGCGTGACCCGTAATTTGTCTATTATTTGTATAATTTACGAAATTCCAAATGACAGATAAACCGCTCCGTTTCCTTCTGATCATTAAAGGGTTCTCTCCGTAGCGCAATTCAAGAACATACCTCGCAGACCCGGATAATTATCGTTACCGACATCGCAACGATGCTAATTGTAAGTATCGCGGACTGAGAACAGATGAGAGAAAGAATTAAGGAAAATAAGGAGAAAAAACTGGAGAAAGAAAGTTAGAGGGAAGGATGGACGGAAAATAAAGAGAGGAAGAGAGTAAAGGAGAAGGTGGTAGTAGGTAGATGGTAGCCACGGTATAATTAACGGAAATTGGAGTTAGGTCAAAAAGCAAAGTTATCGGGGAGAGTTTCGTTGCCGGTGCACGGCAACGAGCCAGTCCGCGAGCGCGTACGCAAGAGGACTGGCTTTTTCCGGGGCAGCAGCCGCTGATATAATTACTAATTAATTACCGTTCCTGCGGCACCGCGCCGCGCCGTGCCGTACCGCACCGTTTCGACGGGCTCACTTAAAAGGACATTGTATGAACACGGGAAACGGAAGTGACTATAATCTCTCGGAGGCGTCTCCGAGCGAAGCGATATTTTGCATCGCGATAACCAGCTCGTCTGTTTTAAGCAGCCAGTCGATACACTCCCGTTCGCGAATGCAACTATTTTAATAACTGACGTCAAGTTCGGCCTTATTCAATTCTTTATAACGGAGTCTATCGCGTTGGCGTACGATTATCTTCAATTTAAAGGATGATTCAAGTTTTTCTTTTTTTTTTGCTTCCTCATCGGTTAAAATAGAAAATGTAACTATAAACTTGTAACTGCAAACTTTTATAATTAGATTGTTTACTTTAATTATTTTGTATATGGTAGAAAGAGATAAAAGTGATGCTGAGAAGTCTTTGTCTATATTAACCTAGTACATATATGTATACTATTTATGGATTAAATGTGATTATAAATATGTGTGAATAGGTGCAGTGGCAGTCAGGCTTGATAATAGACATAGCAGCAAAGTGAGCAATCTCACGGAAAGAACGGTTTTGCTGAAATACGTCAAATTTTAGATACAAATTTAAAAATAATATAGGACTATCAAAATAATTATGCAAGATGCTCAAGCTGGTTGTCAAATGTCTTTTGGCGGTATTGCTTATTATGCTTAAGCGTTCGGCATAATTATTTACTGATCCAAAAAAATTATTTTCAGGTTTATATCTAGCCAAATTTTTATAGATAGTTCAACAAAATTATTTGTTCCGTGTAGTTATAGAAATCTATGCTAACGTGATCAGTGTGCTGCTACAAAGAAATCCGGCAGAGAGAGAAAGAGAGAGAGAGAGAGAGAGAGAGAGAGAGAGAGAGAGAGAGAGAGAGATTTTTTTTTCCTCTTCTTATCCCTCTCCTTTTGCTCTCTATAATTCCGTATTTTCCCGTTCATTTGACTACCAATTTTTAGACAATTTTTGTCTTTCTGTGTAATTCATTTAAATGGGACTAATAAATACAATCTGTGTATTTTAGAATATTATGAATTCTGAGGAGAAAGAAGGGAAATATTAGTTCATCAAATATTTTTTATGCCGATGTCTTTTTTCGTAAACTCTCATAGTAATAACATATTTAATGTTCTTATATATGGTATGATCTTATCGTAAAGATCGCACCGCAGGGGAACGATTCTCGAGAAATAAGAGCGGATTAAAGCTCGACCCACCGTCGACTGAATACTCGTATTTTCTGTAAACCGCATGGACTTCTCTACAAAGTGGAGCTTGCCCGAAAAGAAGAAACTCGCACATCTTGAAGGTAGAGAACGAGAGCGTTTAGCCACAATCCACTAAGAGATCGACCTTCCAGTATCAAATTATTGTTCTTGATATTTCAATGTTCGCGATATCTATGAAAAATCGAAATATTGCAGAATCTGTTTTATTGTCATGCAATTCAATGACGATGGAAATTAAAAAATACATGGAAGGTTAGTGACTAATGATAATTTTTTCGGACATGGTTTCTTTATTCTCTTGACGTTATTTTCTAGAAATACAATTTATTATACTCTCGTAATTTATGATACTCTCCATATGAATTTTTCCAAATGTTTGACAACAATAAATCATTGAATCTACACAGAAAAACCGAAATATAATATCAAATTTACTGAAATATAATATCAAAAAATGTAGCTAAATATAGATCTAAAAATAATTTGTTGGATCATCAAAATAATTATATAAGAAATTCAAACATAATGAGTAAGTCGCTGAAAATTTTTATATTCTTCCAATCAACTTGAATATCCTATACAATTATTTTGTAATTTTATTTAATTATTTGGTAGTTTAAAAAATTATTTTCAGATTTATATATTTAGTTAATGTTTAAATACTGTAGCGTAAAACATTTTTTCCGTGTAATGTTTCTTAAATATTTATGGACTACTCCATCATGTTAATAAACACTAAAAATACAAAATATTTACAATATTATCTGTTAAAACCAATTTCATCTGCCTACATCCTAATTTTTAATTACACGTCTTATAATTTTCAGCTCAGTCATTTTTTAATTGATTTTCTCTACGATCGAACATTGTTGAAAAAGCTTAACAAGGAATATCATATTAAAACAGAGCAATATTTTACGAAAGCAGAAAAAGAGATTCGTACGAATGAACTTGGAGATATCGAAAGTCCCTGGAAACTCGATAAGAACTTGGAAACTCACGTAGCCGGCCGTCGATCAATTCGTCATCAGAGAAGTTAAAAAATACATTATCGAAGAAGCGCGAAGAGAAAAGAAAAGACGAGAAACTACATAGAGATTAGCGATTTACACTTAGCCGACGTTCGCGAATTATTGAAAAAATCACTCGAGCGTGAGGTAGTTCGAGATAAACTTTTCAAGCGGCGCAAGATCTCTCAACAATAATTCAGTACTTCGCACCGTACTCTGTACATCGCTGTTTCTCAGGATACATTCAAATAAAACTGTTGAAAACCGTTTCTTCAAAAAAACAAGTGATAGGGATATATAAAGCGATCGCTAACGATTGATACGTAA